TGCGCAGAGATGTCGGCTTTTTTTCCTTTGGGTGCCAGGCTCCCTTCTCGGGTTGCCCGCTGATGACAGACATTTTGGCAGTGCAGTGGCATCGCTGCTGGATGGAGGATCTTCTCTGTCCTCCCTCCAATGGCAGCTTACTGTGGGTGGAAGAGCGGGGGCATCAACCGAGAACAGACTTTCTGGGTGCAGGCGCCCGCTGGGGAGTGAGGGCAGATTGACATAGCACATGGCTCGAGACAGGAAGGAGGAGACGCTGCCTCCATTCCCAGGTGATCGAGGAGGGGGAGGTCTGAATTTTAAGTACAGAGAGTGGGGGGGAGCAACTGTCCCCCAATCCCTTTCCCCCGCAAAGCTCCAAAGAACTACATAGCTACGCTACCTCCATCAGATGCCTGGTGCCCCCCATCCTTTCCAGGAGCTGCCAACGGCCCATTCGTTCAATGCACCCCACAGAGCCCCCCTCAACTCCCTCCACAGCCAAATAAAAACCTGACAGGGGCCGTAAATACTCTGCGCGGTCACGGAGTCGCTCACCATTGCTAATTGCGCTGGCAGTGCCATTATTTTCTAATGGTACCCCATTCACGGCAGGCAGATCGCACGGTTTCCCACTCTGATTCCGCCCGTGCAATTGCGCATGGACGCAGTTGAAAAACCCGTGCAGAGCGTGTCCCGAAAAAAAGGTACATGCTTTTTTCAGCGATTTGCCACGCGGATGTAACCCCCTTGAAATCATTGGGGCTGCACGGCAACCACTGTGTGCAACCGGACACGATCACGCGGTGCCGGGATTGCCCAAGTCTGCGTCAGCCCTTAGATGTACTCGAGAGACCCGCTTAGTCTGATATTTGCCAGACCATCACAAGCATTGGTTCAGATCACGCTGTGCTCGGCCTTCCCTTTCCTTCACAAGAAACCTTGACCTCTAAATAGGTGTTTTTGTTTGTTACACTATTTCTTTTTGTTCTGAACAATTGTTCTGGACGTTTACGCTCACAGTCGGTCATGCTCATTAACATACCATTTTGAATATGATTTGCAAGAAAAACCGACGTTAAAGCTTTTTCTGCTTGGAGTAAATCCTTTATAACAGCCCCATGGCACGTTGCACCTCAAGTAACCCTAAGGAGCGTGCTAAAAATAACCCTCAGATAATAGCATGTTGTTTTTTGCTAAACAAAAGCCATCTCAATAGCTGCTTTGTTTTTATGGTACTTTATGGATATTGGTAACCCTCTGGTGTCTGGAGGGTGTTAGGGGTCATTCCTCCAACTGTGTTTAATAAAAAAAGCTTTGCTTCTAGCCTATCTTTGGGCTAACTAATATAGTCCCCTTGCAGTGGAGCTACTCCTGCACTTCAAGGGTTAAAGTGACATTAAACCCTCAGATTTTTTAACATAAAACAATACTGTAATGTGCGCCTTACTGTAATCCATGGTTGTTTCCCTTCTCTTTGCTGCTCTTCCTTTTAAATCCGTATCTCTTCTCATGCTGGGGAGAACCTCTGTTTTGCAGCAGATTGCCTTGTCTCAGGAATGGATACACGGTGTCTGTGTGCAGGTTTGTATAGGTTCACAACCTGAGCCAGCACTACAGGAAGAGGCACTCAGCTGCAAAGGGAAGTTCTCCCCCAGCATGAGAACAAATAAGGATTTAAAAGGAAGAGCAGCAAAGAGATGGGAAACTACCATGGATTACAGTAAGGCGCACATTACAGTATTGTTTTATGTTAAAAAAATCTGAGGGTTTAATGTCACTTTAAGTACTCATTTTTGTCTAGGGGCTGGGTTGGAGTAAAGCAGATTCACTTCCTTGATCCCCACACCCGCAAGGCTGCTAGACCAGTCCCCATGGCCTTTTTCTACTCTGGGCATTCGGCACGCAAAGGATCACTGACATCGTTGCGTCTAATGCAGGTTCCGCCGAGAGACATTCCATAGCCGGAGCGGACAGCACTGACCGGCCAGGGAGCTCGGTTCAGTTAAGTATATCTGCTTTACTGCAGCCCCTAGACATAAAGGAGGACTTAACCCTTGAAGTGCAAGGGTACTTTTTTTTTTGTTTGGGCTAAAGGCAATCACAACATGAGCAAAACCTTTCTAACACAGTTGGGGAACCACCCCAAACACCTTCATGTCTAGGGGCTTCAGTAAAGCAGATCTACTTAACTGAACCCCGCTTCCCGGCCGGTCTGTGCTGTCCTCGCCTCAGCTCCAGCTGTGCAATGTCTCTCAGCGGAGCCGTCAGTGGTCCTTAGCTTGCCGATCCCTCCCCCTCTCTGCTCCAGGCTGTTCAATGCCCTTCACTGTCCTCACATCTAATGCAGCTCTATGGAACCTACGTGAGACACAATGACGTCAGTGGTCCTCTGCTCGCCAAAGCCCAGTGGAGAAGGGGCCGTGGGGACTGGTCTAGCAGCACTGCGGGTGTGCGGATCTGCTTTACTCCAGACCTAGACAGAAGTGAGCACTTAACCCTTGCAGAGCAGGGGTAGCCCCACTGCAAGGGTACTTTTTATTTGCCTGGAGCTGGGATGTAACTACCTGCATATCTTTTTTCTTAAGAAAGTGTTGCTGGAATGAACATCAACTAAAACCGAACTTTGCAGTTTCCCTTATTTTACATTAGGGACTTTTATCGGCCAAATGCTCAATGAGAATTGATCTCTGGATCCAGCAAGCCTGCTCAGCAACTTGCCCGCCAAGTAGTTAAAGCCGAGCTCTAGACAAGCGATTAATTACCGGTATACCTTTTATGCAAACCGTTTTATCTGCCAAAGATTTGTAATTGTATTCATTTGGTTTTGTGATCCTCCATGCGCCCCTACCAGATGGCTCAGCTAGATCTGTGACTTCACTTCCCTGTGTTTGAGTTAAATCAATATAGCTCGGTCAAGATAATTCGAGTCCGCAATTGCAGAATCATTATGGCTCTCCTGCCTGACTCAATAGGAAGAGGGATTGATCCTGAATAGCTATTTATACGTTTTCTAATTCCCCGTACCTATTGGATGCATGATCAGATCTGGATCTAGAAAGGATGTTAGGATTTTTTTTTATCCATACTGCCTAGTGCTCTAAGGGACCTTGGAGACATTGCTACTGCTGATAGATATGTATTTTAGTAAAGGTTTTTTTTCCTGATTA